ATTGGGGATAAACAGAATGATGGCTTATTTCAGGAAAGCACCAAAGTACTCAGATCAGGGACCCCTGTAGTTCTTTTCCTTCAAAATGAAAATGTGCTGGTACGCCATTTTAAAGTATACCATTTTAAAGTACATTTAATGTAATAGGTAATTTGGCTTTCATTTTTTTCTGTTTCTCAGCTCATGTAATGCTTTGGTTTCAAATGTACAAGCTTTGCTTTTTTTACTTGATATTCCTCACATTCTTACCCTTTTACCTTTATTCCCAGTGACTGCACAGTGAAGCTCTGGAGTGCCAGGAAGCTACTGAACAGCACAACCTAGAAGTTGAGAAAAATCAGCTATGGCCTTAAGAAGACTAAGATGGAGCTTGGCTAGGAAGTAGTAGTTAATCTCTCATACCCAGGGCTTCAGGATGAGAAGGCTGCCTGGTTTTCTGACAAATACATGGGTTGGAGAAGGCAAAAGAAGTCTTTTCCTTTACATGTTCAAGTCTCCTTGCTTGTCAGGTGTCTAGGATGGCAGCCATTGTAAAAGAGAGCCAAAAAAGAAGACAAAATTTGGTGCTAAGGTTCTTTCAGTCAGAATTCACCTGACAAGTCTACAAATCGAAATGAGATTTTTCATCCTACTATAATTAAACACGGTTTTCCCATGGTTTCCAGCTCCCCAGGAACTGCCTATATCCTGCTTATGCCCATAAGACGTAACGGTGAAAATAATTAAGAGAGAAAAATCAAGGGTTGCCAATTCCTTCCTGGATAGTTGATTGCTATGTTTTAGGGGGTATTTCTTGTTGTAGTTGGTCTTTCGGGAGGATTTATTGAAGTACTGACTTTTATTTCTTACTTTTATCTGTGAATTGCTATTTGTTTTCTCTTTGAAAGGGAGAAGGATTGGAGGAGAATGCAAGAAAATGAGCCACTTTAATTTGAGCACATAATGTAGTGCTTCTCAGTGGTCCCTGTAGATTAAGAATTGCCCAGACGTTTTCTATTACATTTGCCAAATACCCTTGAAGTTGATTTTCCCAGATTCCTGGAATGACAGTATTAAAAGAAAAAAGACAACTAACAATTGTATTAAACAGAGTGATATATTTAGTAGCTGATTTGATGAACTTGGATAACGTCAGAAGAGTTGTTGTTTCCTGAATACTAGTTATAAAGCTGGATGCTTTTTTCTAAATGTTAGATAAGCAACAAGAAAGAGAGAGCTAAACTGATTAAATACATTTAGGATTCTCCTTCATGCCATCATTCAGCAATTCCGGCAAAGAAGTAGCCTAGACATGCCACCTCCTCTTCCCATTCTCAACTTGCAGAGCTTTTTATTGTGTTTTGGTAAAATGGCAGTGATTGCAGAAATCAACTGACCCCCTATCACGGGAAAAAGGACATTTTGTCCCCTCCTTTGTCTGGGAACAGAAAAAATGTGGAACCTTCCCTTCCAGCTTTCAAACAGGGTAAGGAAGATTTGAATTGCTAAGCACAAGGGTGTTGCAATGCGTTCCTGTATTACTGGGGAGATAACGAGCCTGCCCCGCTTAATCTCACCCCCAGCATCTTTTTTTGTTTACATCTTTTTCAAACATTCACATTTCCATGTCACAATAAGGAGCAAATGGATAAAAGTTGATGCTCTGTTTTAGAAACTTGAATTTTTCACGAGATATTGTTCACTGCACTTGATGTTTAGCAGCAAACATTGGCTTAAGCCCTTGAAGATCTATCATTCTGTGGGAGAAGCTTCCGTCTGTGTGCAATATAGCAGGGCTGTCGAAGCCTTACTGGAGGATTGATCAAGCACTGTTCACATTGTTATAGATTCATCCTTAAACTTCTAACTTGCATTGTACTCTTCCATCAGAGGATCAAGGATTTAAACTGATTGCTCAGCAGCAGACTTGGGAAAGCCATTCGCTAATAGGGAAATATGGACCAGCAGGTTGAAGCAATTTGCTTTCTGAATGCTTTGGACCATTCTACAGCTCTGCTTTTAGTTTGTAGGAGTCTTTGCTCTACTGCCCTGGATTAGGTTGGAATTCTGTCCGTTCATTTGTGTTATGAAAATTCCTTTCTCTACACTTAAGCTGCTGATTCTTCCAGCCAAGTGGAAAGTTGTATTGTAATTCTAAATAGGTGTTCAAATGATTCTGTGTTTTGTCTTGTGCAATTGGGGGTGAAGGGGGGGCAGCAGATGTGTGACTGAGATTTTAAGAGGGTGAGAGCTTGTTTTGGGTTAACCTACCTCATGGTCCAAGGTGTTTTCTCATTTTGTTGTTTTTTTGTTTGTTAATAAAACTTGAATTGGTCTGGGAAACGCACAGTATCGCTGGTCCCAATTTCTGAGCTTAAGAGGAAAGCAGGATGAAAGAAGCTGGCCTCTGTGTAATCTCAGAGCGAGCATTTATGTACTGTGTTTACTGCATCTTGATGTCTTTTGCAGTCTTATCTTAACTCAGCACTCTAAACTGAGTGGGGAGGTGGGCCATATGATTCCAGGATTGGAAGAGAATAATCTTCCACAAAATCAGCACAATCTTCACTTCTGCACATGGAACCCAAATTATGTTTTTTTGCTATTTAGGGAAGTTTGTGTCCCCTTTGAATTTTTTTGCCTGCACAAATCTATGAATAGATTGTGAAATAACTCAGCATTTTCCATTGACTTATATAATTTATTTAGAGCAAAGAATATGAAGCATCCAAAAGATGATACTAATATGTCTAAATCTGTCTGCTAGGCGATATCTTTTATAGGTTAAAAAGAATTGTGTGACTTGTGGTCCTCCAGAAGTTGTACTTCATCTTCCATCTTTCCTCACTCAGCCAGCTCAGATTCAAGGAAAGCTGGTGGAAGCCACACATTCCTTCTTAAATTACTGCCCGTATTTGCCATAGAGTCCTGGATGGCTCTTGCTTTCTTGTCCTTTGGCACAGAGTTAGTCTCCATTTTCTGGGCGGGGAGGGTGAACTTTGCCTCTTTTAATACTTCTGATCTCATGGATGTAGCAGAAGTGGAATTGAGCTGATTTCTTGGGTTTAGTATGTATAGTTTACCCTATTGTTGATTGTACTTGAAGCACATAATTGAGAGGATACAAAGCAACCAACAATGGACATTTCATCTCTCTCATAATTTTCAAGAGCTGAACAACAGATTACTATAATAAGACTAAAAATGGTTTTACATCATCTGCAAGGATGTTTAAGAACATGTTATCATGCTGTCCCTAAGGCTAAACTCTCAGTTTAAGACACCTGCTCATTGTGTACTAATGTACACCAGCCACCTCAGTCTAGGGTTGGGACAGTTGTTTTAGTTGCAGTCCCAGCACACCTGGATATGGCCAGGTTGAAATTTTGTTTCAAACAACAGGTGCCTTTCCTTATCCTGAAAGGTCAGGGTTTTTACCCATAGAAAACACTGGTGCTTGTCTGGGGCTTCTGTGGGGACTGTGTCATCTGGCAAAAATGATATTGTGTGAGTGTGAGTGTGTGTGTGTGTGCGTGTGTGTGTGCATGTAAAGATACAGTGTATGTAATATTTTATACCTCTGTGTAAATAATGTAAGTTATTTAATGTTTCCGATGTACATGGTTTTCCAATGAATGTTTTTGTTCCTCCTGGTAATAAATTTATGCAACTGAAATCTCAGGTCTGGTTTCTACATTAACAGGCTAATGCAAAAACTTTAAAAAATATGAAATCAGAAGCGTGTGGGTTTGAGAAGTTGGATCCCTAAGCTATTACAGAACAAATGTAAGGATTAAAAATAGCTAGGAAATTGGAAATGACCCTGAGCAGACATGGAGAACTTCAGTCTCACAGGTCTAATCTGATAAAATAGCTCATAGTTCTTCAGTAACCCTTACCATTCATTCTTTGCCCTGAAAGATTAACGTTTTCTGCATAGTGAATGGTCTTGAAGGGAGAGAAGTTAACTTAAAAAAGACATTTCTCTTTCCCAGACTCTTATCATCTGATAACATCTATGTGTTCACGCAAAATTACTCCCTCCCCCAATTTTCAAATGAGAATACAACTAAGTAAGAGACAAAGTCTATACCAGTGGTGGCGAACCTATGGCACGCGGGCCAGAGGCGGCACTCGGAGCCCTCTCTGTGGGCACATTTGGCATTGTCCCAGCCTTGCCTCCCCCCACAATCCCCTCCTCACCCGCAGCCCTCCTGGAGGAGAGTCGCCCCCAAGCGTGGCCCACACGGAGCAGTGCAGCCAAGGACATGGCAACCAGGCAGCGTAGCCAAGACTCTGCCCTCATGCCCCACCCCGCACAGTTGATGCAGGCAGAGGGCGTGGCTGCCATGGCGCTGCTGGGCTGCCTGGGCGATCTGCAGTGGACCCTGGAGGTGGTGAGTGGCTCTGCGGGCAGGTGGGGTGGGGGACGGGGTGGGGGCGGAGCAGGGCCAGTTTTTGGGCACTTGGTCTCTAAAAGGTTCACCATCACTGGTCTATACTTATTCTAGGGTAGCAGACTTATAAATTATCTTACTTTTTTAGAGCTTTCTAGACTACTAAAGTATTAGTAGTGGAAGTGTGAAAAGTGAGATGAATGATACAAAAAAAGTTTCTAGTGATTAGGAATGAAGCAGCCCCAAGACGCTCAAAACCATTGTTGTTATACAAATTGCCTTTTGTAAATCATTTGATCAGTGTTCACAAAGACTTCTTTGCAGAGATCTGGGCAATAAAGTTTCTTTGCTGGGCTGAATCAAAGTCAATACAATTATTAATATAAAGTTGAAGTGAAGACGATCTTTTCCATAGGTATTTGTTTTCACTTTGTGAAAAAAAAAACTTGAAAACTGGACAGGACAATTGTGAATTCTTACATACTGTATCAGAGTAATTGGGGGAAGAAAAATCATGTCATTTGAAGATATTGAATCCTAATATATAAAATTACAATTACTAACAAAAGGCTGTCTTTTGGTTGTCTTTTCCCTTCGTATCTGAAGGACAACAAAGTCATCAGAACATTGCCAACATTTTTTTTTAATAATGTAAATAGATTGAACATTTTCTTAGCTTGATTTCTACTTTTAATGAAGTCAAAAGGCATAGAACACTAACAGAAAAATGGTGGACAGTACTAATAATTTACCAAAACTTAGAAATATAGTATATACCCTTGAGCAGTACTGAAGTTTAACTTGAGAACTCTCAGGTTAAATGCAAGAGTGACTTAAAAATTAAGACATATCTTCACCCTGTAGGCTATGGTTTACAGTAAGGATATATAGAAAATACTGCAGGGAAAAATGTTTTGGTTGGAATCCATGATAAACCAAAAACGTTTTGGATCGGTTGTGGCTTGGTAGAAACAAAACCCACAACATTTCCATTGCCCAAGGCTTCTGCTAAAACAGCATTCAGAAGGATTGTGGAGTAACTGTTATGCAGTGGTATACTTTGCCCTCTTCTCCGGTTTCTAGTCAGCTACCATCACAAAGTTCCAGTGTGGCACTGGGCCACACTGCTTCTGATCTTTTCAGTGCCTTCTCTGTCCTACATTGTCACTGCCACCACAAAAGTTTGCATATGCCTTCAAACTTGGCTTTTCCCTACTCCTCCCCTCCCTGACCCATCTCCACCCAGAGGAACTATGTTTTAGTCCATCTTTGGAATAAAACAGCCCAACAAGTGTTTCCATTTGGGTACAGATCATCCCAGGTTCCACATATATGTTGCTCAATTCTAAGGTTGCTGAGTTTATTGTTGAATTAAACACCTTATTAACCTATAAAACTACTTTCTGGCCATAAGTGTAATGGTCTGAGTATGTCTTTGTGTAAACCATCTTGTTTCTTGCCAAAGAGATCAGTGAATAGTGAGTTGTTTTCTTACAGTTGATAAACCAGTCATCAATCTCTTCTGCTATAAAATTAAAGCTGGTTGTCTGGCTCAATGCTAGATGATTATCAACTATGTGACATGGAATTTGTTCTATGTAGGCAACCCTCTGCTGCCATAATTTAATTAGGATTGCATAGAAAAGTTGAGCAATATGTTATATAGTTCATCCATCAAAATGGGCCTCTTTTTAATACAAAATTCCATTAAAACTGAAAACAAGGATTCATAAACAGGTCCACAGAGATAGCAAGATTTGTGAATTCCATTAGTCTAAAAAAAGGCAGAATAACAATGGAGTATGAAGTACACTAAGGCAGACCATTGGCTGCATCAGGTAGCTTTCTTTAGGAACAAAGAAGGCAAATCTAGTAATTGGGAAGGAACTTGTGTAGGTACACATACATTCTACTTCCACCAGAAAGTAAGTTGTAGTCAGAAATAGCTCTGACTACAAAAATCCTACACCAATTTCATTTCCATAATCTATAGAGACTCTGTTTCCAGCACAGACCTAGGAGAGAATAAATAGGCAGACAAATCCTAGTTACTCTGATCTATATTTCATATAATACAAGAAACATAACTTCTGTTGTCACCAGTACACTGTATCAACATCATAGGAATATGATCTCACGTAGCTTGCAGAACAAGTCCCAAAGTTTCTCTTCTAAATAGAAGGAGTACAAGATGCAAGAACATGTCAAGACTTGAATTAAGGCCTCTTCTTCCCCTCCCAGACAAGGGCCTAAGAGGTAATCATCCTGCTCATGCTGCCAGGGTCCAGCAGCATCTAAACCTGAGTAATGATTTCTCCATTTTCTGGGACGTAGACCTGCACAGGGGCTCCTTCAGGAGAGCGTTTGAGGATATGGACACGAGGTACCTGAAAATTCAAAAGAAAACCTTTCGTAAAAGTGTTATTTTAGCAAGGCTTCCCATTACCTATTTACTCTGCTACCATTATAATTCATCTATTTTATTTTTAGTTAGCGTATGGCATCTACAGAGATCATGCAATCACTGCTATACAAATTTAGTTTAAATAAAGCATCAATGTGTGTATGTGTGTGTTTGTAAGCATCAGTGTGTGTATGTGAACACACACACTACAATATAGGACAGGGGTAGACAACCTTGGCTCTTTTATGACTCGTGGACTTCAACTCCCAGAATTCCTGAGCCAGCCTTGCTGGCTCAGGAATTCTGGGAGTTGAAGTCCACGAGTCATAAAAAAGCCACGGTTGCCTACCCCTGATATAAGAGATAAAATATTAAATTAAGATAAAACCATAATAAAATCACTATAATGTGGAGCCATAGAAATGCAATGGGATAGATGTTATAATTCAATATCTAGGGGAACTAACCATTTAACTGCCTCTTAAGAAACTAATCTGGTAAGAGAGAGGGGAAAAGTATGTGACAAATAGATATGATTACATTACCTTCTGCCTTAACCTGTGTGCCCAACAGCCTGTGTGTTAACATCAGGACTGATTTAGAGAAGATGGCATAACAGGTGGATCATTCCTATGTACCCCCCTCTAAGATCAGTAGCACCTCTTAAGAGAAAATTCAGGAAGATGGCGATAAGTGGCAACTCTAGTTGGCTGCATGGGGACTGACAGATTACTAATTTATGTTTTAGATTTTCCCATTCTACTTGCAGTGCTGTACATTTAAACAACTATGGATATGAGAGCTCAGGAAACAGCAAGAATAGGGAATGTCTCTGCTAATTTGTTAATACCTGAAATAGTTCACAACTGAAGTGAAACCCAACAAGTTTCTATTCATTTTCATTCACAGTCAATGGCCTGAGTATCAGGCCAGATGGTCCAGAAGGTCAGCTACATTAGCCTCTTGTGGCAATTGCAAGAAGCACCAGGAGAATCTTAAAGACTAACATATGTAATATGGAATCAATTTATAGACTAAAGTCCATTTAATGTGATGCCTAGACGGGGGAAGCAGTGTTTCTCAGGCTGATAAACATGAAGCAGATTTCATGCAGCTGAATGTAGAATAAATCTGTATCTAGAATTCTTGACTTCGAAGCTCACAAACTGGCCCATCTAGTTAAGTACATGATTTTAACAATGGACTTTCAGCACTGGCGATAAGAGCATTGTTTAAAGGTTACTTTCCCGTGACATCGCTGCATGGGTTCAGTGTTCTACTTAAAACAGATTAGGGAAAAAAATGTAGTGAGCTGTTCAAGAACCTGCCTTTCTAGCTCATGCAACCACTTCCTAGATAACAATTTTGCAGCTCTGTTTCAAAGGAGTGGAAGGTAAGCATTAGGGATTATGAGAGGAGGAAACCAAGGGCAAGCTCATGCTTGCATGGTGTGGGCCTGCGCTCCAGGCAAGGGAGATGTCCAAGGAGATGAAAGTTTTACTCCTTATGAAACATTCACACATCTGGAGAGGGGGGAAAAATCTAGAACAAACAAAAAATATCCATGCCACACAGATTTCTTTCAATGGCTACTTTTCTGAACGTAGGTGGCAGAAGCATTCCCAGAATCCTCTGCCCTGACAAAGGTAAAAGAAAAATACTCAAGTCCAACTTGGCAACTGTTGACTACCGGAGAATGGCCAGAAATTGGGATCATTCTTGTCAAATCACACAAAATTTGCCACCGCCTTCTTTCAAGACTTTTTCAACTTTTCAGTCTAGCTTGCAGCCTTGGATTTTTTTTTTATTTATTTATTTTTGATGATCTGGAACCCAACTAATAACCAGGTCTGATTCTGTGTAGCCATTTGAGATCAACCAAATTCAGCTAAGCTGGCAAGGCCTTTGCTATAAACCTCAAAAGCAATTGATCAGCTTTTTCCATCAGATGCCCTTCAAAAGAATTAGTATGGAATTGTGGAAGACCAAGTCTCCAGAGAACACTAGGTTCAGAAAGGCTGCTCAAAACAACAGAGCTTGGGTGCAGTTTAACCATTTCCCAGCAAACAGCCAGTCTCAAATAAACTTAAACTGAACAACAGATGCAATTTATCAAATCAGGGATGAGTTCAGGAGAAGTACAGTGGGCAAAGTTTAGTGATTATCATCTGATCATTTCACTCTTTGCCATAGGGTAGGCTTAAGCAATTCCTGTTGACATTGATGACCCATAAGCAGTGCTTTTTTTGTAAAAAAAAAAAAAAAAAGGTGCCGGAACTCACACATATCATACAACCTGCCTTGCCTAGCCTACCAGGTTCCATCCAAAAAAAGTGCCAGAACTCTGTTCTGGGTGTTCTATGACAAAAAAAGCCCTGCCCATAAGTATCCTGAACATCAACTCCTCTTACTATATATCTGTATATATCTGTTACTTGGAAAAGGACATTTTAAAATATTGTTTTAGGAAAGGTGGTATCACAAGCACAATATTGATAGGAGAATATTTGTAACTCACGGTTGAACTGAGTGGTCCTTGAGCTTGGTTGTTGTCTTGTAGACATTTCATTAATAAAGTAACATCATCTGTGCTGATGATATTATCTAGTTTGCTAATGAAACGTCTGCAAGTAAACAACCAAGCTCAGAGAGCATCAACTCCGAAGCACAATATTAGAAGGCACAGTTCTAATATTAAAGAACTGGCTGTTCTCTCATGCCCTGGGCTAAGGTGGATGAAGCTCTGTGTGGTGTGCTTGTATATGTTTTTGAGTTGTTGGCAGAATTCACTCTTTTCTTTTTACCTACCTTGTTTTTTTTTTAATTTGACTTTTTTTAATCTATATTTTTTTTAAAAAACCCGCTACATAGTGAACTGCCCGGAGTCATTCTAGTGTCAGGCAGCACATAAATCAAATAAATAATGAAATGTTAAAATAACCAGAAAATCATGAATGAAGGAAAAAACAGAAATTGGGAGGAAGTAGATAGAAATATATGCAATTCTTAATTTCTAACAGATTTTACAAATATCAAGCTCTCATATCATAAAGCCTGTTCTACATAAACAAGTTAGCTTGCTTATAAAATATGCTTTGTTATGCAGTTAAAAAATATGGTTTAGCCAAAAAAGTTACTATATGTGTATTAATTGAATTTGATTTAAAATGAATCTTATATGAACCTAAAGTAATATCCTCACTATTGGTGGTGTTTATAATGATTTACTTCTTTTGACCCTTGACTTTGGTTATTTTATAAATTTCATTATCTTTTGAAAATAAAAAAGCTAGCCCACACTGAGACAAACTTTCTTACTGTTTCACGTGTTTGTTTACTCTTTGAGTTGACAAATTTCCAAGCACATCTAAATTTCTTTCACTTCTTAATGAATTAACATATCATTTAAAACAAAAATAATTGGAAATTTGCATAAGCTCTTTTTCTCCTGTCTCCCAAATTTGGAGAGGCAGGAGGAGAAAGTTTGCAAAAAGAATAAAAAGCATTTTTTTTCTTGATAATTTCTTGATCTTCATATTCATATCCAAAAGAAACAGGCATTGGTGGCAGACAACATCATGGGTTGTTCTCCATTTTTGTTGGCATCCATCACATTCAGTTAGAAAGCACTCTTCCACCATTTTTTCCATTTACTTAAGTTTAGTTGCTTTGTCTTGTGTGTCCAGGTGGTATAAGCCAGGAGTGGAGTTGGCCCAGTCCTAATGTGGGTTTTTAGGAGTTCAACAACACTGGCTAACATAACCCATTACTTTGTTCACCGTCCTTGCTGTAGGAAAGCTGCCAGCTTAGGGCAAGGCGGAGAGAATTAAGAAGGTGCTGGTTCCCCTCTCCCTAGAGGTGCTATACAGTCTTACCTGAATTTGATGCCCAAAGGAACACGGAGAATGCAGTTCTCTGCCTGGCACACTGCGCACACGGAAAGCCCCTTGCCTATCCAGGGAATGTGGACGTGCATTGCGCAGACGGGTTCGTTCGTGCCAGGATTTTAACTCTTCTGTCACTGCCGCCTTGGAGAGAACTCGAGGACCCACTGGGACAAAGTCCTTCAGGGATGGTGTGCGAACTACCCTGCTGTGGGCTACAACTGACCTGTGGAGTCTAACTGGCACCGCTTCTTCCTTGTAGGCAAAGTGGGCTGAGCTGCCAGAGAGAAAAGATGGCCGACTGTGGCAGAGCTCTCTCCCAGCAGTCAGGTGGCTACTGGGCACGTGTTCTGTGGCAGGAAAAAAAACTGGCCCTGAACGCAGGTTTTGAGGACACAGGCGGTGGTATTCTGCTTCTTGTCCCTTGAAGACCTGGTTATGGAACAGCTGCATGGGCTCCTCCTTGGACACGACAGTTGCTGGCTTCATAAAGGAAATGTCTGGGCTGCTGCTGCCGGCAGATGTTGTATAAGAGATGCTGGAGACATCTGAACTGCTATCTTCTGAAGCAGAGTGAAAGTTGGCTTTCAGAGCAGGGTTAGGATTGGATGCAGAGAAACAGAACTCAGGGACAGTCACGGTATAGTAGGTGGGGCGTCGCCTGGGTAGTGCACTTCTTCCACGGGACTCCAAACTTTCCCGAGTTGAACATACCCTGTGAGCCAGAATAAATTAGTTAAAACTACAAATGTAGCAATAGAAACAGCACTTAGACTTATATACCACTTCACAGTGCATTAAAACCCTAAGCTCTTTACAGAGTCAGCATTTGTCCCCTAGCAATCTGGGTCCTCATTTTACCGACCTCGGAAGGATGGAAGGCTGAGTGAACCTTGAGCCGTTCGGAATCAAACTCCTGGACTGAGCAATGAGTTAGCCTGCAGGACTGCATTCTAACCACTGTGCTACCACGGCTCTTTTGTTTGATCCTGGGAAAAAGGGGGAACATGACACTATCTTCTCAAAATCTAAACACAAAAACTCTTAAAATGTAGAGTTCAGAACTTCCATACATTTCATTCTGTCTACAGTGCATTCTACTTATGACTGGCCTTTCCTACTGTATCTCATTTCATGCCTATGCCATAAATGTTCATTTAAATCAGGGATGCCCAAACATGACAACTTTAAGACTTATGGACTTCAACCCCCAGAATTCCCCAGCCAGGAGTTGTGGGAGTTGAAATCCACAGGTTTTAAAGTTGCCATGCTTGGACACCCATGTTCTAAGAAAATATTTAAGGCTATATTTTTGACTTCTTTAGTGGATAACTTACTTTTTTATTTTATACCCATTTATATGGAACTATGAATAGGGTCAAGCAGCAGGCATACTTATATTCAGTTTCACCTTTCTTTCACATTTCTCATTTCAGGGCAATATGCCATCCACAGTTCTCTCCATCCCAATCAAAATTGCAATTTGAGTCAAATTCCCCTTCCTCCAATGTCCATATATTTCTTTATTTTAATTATTTATTTTGCTTATCATAGATGTTCTATTGGCCTCCTCCTTCTAGCTGACAGTATTCGCTAAACACTAATCCAGGGGTAGTCAACCTTGGCTCTTTTATGACTTGTGGACTTCAAAGCCCAGAATTCCTGAGCCAGCTATGCTGGCTCAGGAATTCTGGGAGTTGAAGTCCACGAGTCATAAAAGAGCCAAGGTTGACTACTCCTGCACTAATCTCTCATACAAAGCTACTTTCAGAGGCATTAAAGACTAGAAACTTTTTAAAAATGAGAGCTAAGATTCTCAAAGCTCTGTATTTTGGGATACACATAAATGGTCTGCATCATATGAATTAGTCTGGCTACAATACACATTTAAAGTGTCTGCTTGTTGTCAAAATCCATTGTTGGGTTAGGCAAGGTAATCATAGAAACATAGAAAACTGACAGCAGAAAAAGACCTAATGGTCCATTGAGTCTGCCCTTTGGGTTTGTTTGTTTGTTTGTTTATATTTTTGTTAATTTTTGTCAGATGATAGACATACGTTTATCACAAGCGAGTTTAAACTGTATGTTTAAAGCTTGTTGAACCACAGGAATGCTTTAATATATGGTATCTAAAGCTTTGAAATACCTTATCAGCTGAGACTGTCCTCTCCTTCCCGGGAATTCTGGGGTTGGAGGGGCACTGAAACCAGCCTGTCTTCTTACTTCCAGCTTCCTAGGAAGATCCAAGTGACACGGATGTGTCTCAACTGCCCTCTGAAGGGAAGGGCTGGGTGCCGGTGGGGACATTACGCTTGCTGTGCTATAATAGGATACAATGAGATAAAAAGTAAGAAACAGTTTTTCTGTCCACTTCCCAGTTTTCATTATTTTTCTACAAGCAAACCGAGGGCCACTGGTTAAGGGCTGTAAAAGTAGTTCTTTCCCATTATTTCTGAAACAGAACAGAAGCAAAAGAAAAGTCTGAAGATTGATGGGTGTCAATAAAATAACTGTTCAGGTTTAGCTAACTCTGATATTCTGGGTCGATGCTCCTCAAAGAGCATTTTGATCCCACATGTAGCCATAAGTCAAGGACTACTTGCATATGGGTTTGCCTTGAACTTTGGGCAGAGACCAGATGCTTCAATCAGTACCAGGCCAGGACAGACTATCCACTGGAGTTCCATCCCATCTTATAGGCCTATGATACCGGGGCTGCCAGCTAGATTCAAGGTGCTGATCTGAACATACAATGCTTCAAGTTCCTTGGCACCAGGCTACCTGAAACAAGGCTTCAAGTACATGTAGTCCTTGACTCACGGCCACAATTGAGCCCATCATTTCTGTTGCTAAGTGAGACATTTGTTAAGTGAATTTTGCCCCATTTTATATGACTTTTCTTGCCACAGTTGTTAAGTGAATCACTGAGTTGTTAAGTTAGTTGTTAAGTGAATTGGGCTTTCCCAATGACTTTGCTTGCCAGAAGGGACTCCACATCCTTCGTAAATAGGAGCCAGTTGCCAAGCGTCCAAATTTTGATCACATGACCATGCGGATGCTGCATTGGCCGTCAGTGTGAAAACGGTCATAAGTCACTTTTTTCAGTGCCATCGTAACTTTGAATGGTCACTAAATGAACTGTTGTAAATCAAGGACTACCTGTACATCAGCTTTCCAGGCGTCTACAGTACAATCGTCTGGGAAGACAGGAATTTGCTGTTTGAAATTGACATGGAAGAGGGCCTTATCCATGGTGGCACCTGTCTTGTGGAACCATCTTCTTCCCTGTAATATGCCAATTCATGCTGGCACCTTTTAAGTGTCTTTTTCAAAATTAAAATTTTATGTTGGCATTATCCAGCCATTAACTTCCCTCATATCTGTCTTGTAATATTCTTGTAATGGATTCGTCTTGTAAAGAAGGACGGACACTAAAGGGACAGGACACAACCAGTAAATACTTTAGAATCAGGGGTTCTCAACCTTGGCAACTTTAAGACTTGTGGACTTCAACTCCCAGAATTCTTCAGCCAGCAAAGCTGGCTGAGGAATTCTGGGAGTTGAAGTCCACAAGTCTTAAAGTTGCCAAGGTTGAGAACCCCTGCTTTAGATGTTGTCTCCAATTTTCCATCTACCTGAATTGCAGGAGCAGGAAAAAAGTTTCAGGTAATGCTCTTACCATGGCATTGCCACAAAATATAAATTAGGGTTGTTGTTTTTAAAATAGCTATAAAATTGTCACTGATTATCTATGGAGATTCTCAGTCATCCAGGTCATGGTTGTCTCAAAGGTGCTTTTTCAAAAGACAACTGGACTTCGTTTTTCCTTGAAGACGTTTCGCTTCTCATCCAAGAAGCTTCTTCTGAACTGAGAAAAAAAAACAAAGTCCAGTTGCCTTTTGAAAAAGCACCTTTGGGATATTGCCACTGATAGAATCAGAGGGTCAAAATGAATCAAAGTTTTCCCTAAATCCATTTCCTATTGCAAATCAAAATAATCTGACTACCAATTTACTATCCTAATTCATAATTTCATCTGTAGGCACATCTTAAAAGTAAGTGATACTTGCAAAAAAATTAGCCATCATAAACATCTGACTTCTATCACTGTGATCAATATTATTAATCAGTGTAATTAATAACACAAGATATTAATAATACACCCAGGATATAAAATATACTGATGGCACTTTTCTTATCTGTTCAATAAACGCTGTAACAAGGTAGACTAGTGCAATTTTAATATAGTGGGAAAAGAAGGATAATGTTAAGAATCCATGAATAAGCTGAGATTCTAACCAGAAAGTTCAATTCAACTTGCCTGTCATCAAGCATTGCAAATACACTTTGCAAGTTATTGTATTGCTTCTCTATAAATTACGATTTACATATATTCACCTCAACTCTTTGAAATCAAATAGAGACATCTTAACACAGAGAAAAGCACAGTAGAAAGATCTAGGGAACAAGTTTGACCTCAGCATGTTGTTGGTCTCAAACGACTTCTTGGGCTTCTCATAGGGCTTATCCAAACTAGTTTCTTTCCAGGGGCTATTCTGGATGGGAGAAGACTCCACTTCAGCAGCTGGATGATGAGTTGAATCTTCTAGAAAGCCAAGGGGGGAAAGTTGCGATGAAGAACTGTGGTAAGACTGGATTTGGGTCCAACGTATATTTTTTGTTGGAAGGTGAGGATTCACCACTGGGACTTCTTTAAAAAGAAAGGAGGATGATAGCTTGTCACCACAAACTTGAAAGTCCTTTAAACATTTGCTAAGCTACCTTGTACAGCTACACTCCCTTACTAGCCATTAATTAAATCAAAGGAGGACATTAAATTTCTCTGAGAACCATAATAAACATCCTTCCTTGCCTTCAAGCTTGGTACAGTGTTGCAGGCTAATCTCTTTAGTTGAATATGAAGTCATTAAATAAAAACAGCAGCAGCAAAATATGGAATGCATGGAGACTATGGTAAAGGAGGAATGTGGTTACTCTATGACTGAGATGGACACTTAAACTATGGGCTGCCGAAACATAACTTATTAAATTAGCCATTATTTGTTGAACATCTAAGCCAAAAGCAAATATTACATTTAATGAAAGTACAAATTTCTGGTAGCTTTTCAGACCTCAAGTTGTGACCTTCAGAATGTTTTGAGGAATTATTTGCTGTGCATTTTTTAAAAACATGACTAAAATGTTTATTTACTAACCCTCTGCAAGGCAAAACTTCTATTCTTGAACCCCCCCTCCCTCCCTGGGCATCATAACTCTAGGATGAAAAATTATTATTTTAAAAAATGCAACTTCACCATCCCAGAGGAAAAAAAGATTGTCTTTTTGTGTACGTGCGATGAGCTATGGAAACAGCCTTCCCTCTGAACTACTATTTGACTGGGGGGGGGAAGTATATTTATGTAAAATAACGAAGCATAGGTACGAATGTTATTATATTACCATGAAAAAATGATGTCACAAAATGTGTTCAAAAATACCGAAGTATAGAAAATCAGTAAACAATCAACTTGAAATGTTTTATGAAAGGGCATTCTTATCATGAAAAAGAAGGCCCTAAGAACAACTTCCGGTCTGCATTCAAAGGGAAGAACATCCCAAGTAAAGCCATTAGGATCATACTTAATTAACTTGCCTTCTTCTCTCACAGTCGCATCCAAGAAGGAACGTTCGTCAGAGGCACCAAACCCTTAAGATGAAATGGGGAAAGTTGCTGTAAATGGGAACTGTAAACCATTTTGCTATTCAGGATTCTAGATATTGGATTTCATTCACTCTTTCCACTTATTTCCCATATTCCCACCCCCCAGCCAACATTCTGAGGCCACTGAGCATAAACACCCCCACTACGTAATTACAAGTGAGACATCTCTTTGGTTTTTTTCTTCTTAAAGATTCTGTCCATTTCAGCAGTGCTTTTTGAGTTACTCATGGCATCAGAGAAAACATCAAAAATTAGGCTTTCTTTGAGCTATAGATTTCCAAGCAACTATCAGGAACACTGACAACTCATTAGAAATATGCAGTCATAAATTCCTCGCAGACCCACAGAAGGAACAACAAAAGCTTCTATCTTATTAGTATTGGGCTAACTCCAATAACCCAAACCACATCATTCAAGGTAAAGCATTCATGTACACTAAACTAGCCTCCTCAAAGAAACAGTCCATGGTACAACGAATTAATGCTAATCTAAAGGATTTGGATTTGCATTTCAGGCAGCATTTTTCCATACAGTCAAAATATTAAATTAGGAATTAATAGCTCAAAATTTCTTTTACTCTTTAGATGTCATGTGGATGAGACATGAGGGTAATAATCCAGTTCAGAGAGAAATGTCCTTAAGATGATTCATTTCAAAGAGCTTCACTCTGAAACAACAGGTAGATGCTAATAACCACTAGTTGCCTTTTATGGTCCAGCCAAGGTGGACTCTGAAGAGATGATCTCATTCAGTCAACAATATCTCTGCACAATCTACACAAAGTATTGTCCTTCTATTAAACAAAGAGTGCTTTTGTGTATAGGTTCAAACCTGATCAACTCTAGATACTGCTGGGAAAGAACCCCATTAGAAACCCTGAGAGTTTCTAACAGTTGCATAGACAATATTCAGTGTTCTTTTTTAAAAAAATAAGCTGCCTTTTTATGTTCCAGATACCCTAAACAAATAGTACAAGATATAAATGAAAACACTAAGCTCTCATCTACAAATATTTACCACGTGGGATTCTTGGGCAAAAAGCAATGAAGTGGGTGTATAAGAAGCCATCCAGTTACCCCAGTGAAGTCTTTTTCAATATAGCTATTTTCATAGTAGTATATCTGAACTAGTAAATGCTAAAGCCAATTACTGGGAGGGAAGAAAGGAATTAGCAAGGATTGAGCCTAATATTGAAGTCCAAAATATGTTCATTCTATGTGCAAGTAAGTCTGACTGAGTTCAATACAGCTTACGTCTCATTTCAATGTTCACAGGATTGCACTTTTTTTTGTAAAAATAACAAAATAAAAAAGTTGGAAGGGACCTTGGTGGTCTTCTAGTCCAACTGTCTGTTCAAGTAGGAGACCCTATACCATTTTAGACAAATGGCTTGTCCAATCTCTTCCTGAAAACCTCCAATGATGGAACAAATTCTGAAGGCAAGCTGTCACACTGATTAATTGTTCTCACTGTCAAGTAAGTGACAGGGACTAAAAAAGAATCAGTGAACCTTCTACTACCCAGGGCCTTGCAGGCATGTTTCCACTACAGTTTTCAGAATTCCTAGGGAATGTCTCTATTCGCCATGTTGCTGGGAATTCTGTAGTCCCAGCACAGCTAGAGGAGGCAGCTTGGGAAGCTAAGCTAGGTGACTGATTAAGGGTTAAATCTGATACTACAAAGCTTTGCATCAATCATTCACCGCAGGCTTCTACATGCTTCCTCCTCCAGCTGCCTCTCCCTGTTTTTTTTTTTTTTTTTCTTGAGTTCTCTTTGGCAACCACTTACAGAAAATTTCCCTTGGTATCTTATCACAGCAGGAAGAAGCCATAAAAGGTCAGCTTCCTGCTTTGAACTGGGATGAATTCCACTCAAGCCGTGCCTGTCAAAAGTTCATTTAACCTGTTTCTTATGATTTACAGGGACAAGTACTTAATCCTAACCTCTGTCTCATTTCCTGACAATCTTTCTAATTTCAAAACCTACTTCCTCATAATAACAAAGAATCTTGTGGCAGCCTAAAGAGAAACAAATCTATTTTAACAAAAAATATTAGTCCTTAAAGTTTTGTGAGGCTTGTGTCTGTCTCTACCCTCCCGGTTTTTAGGTCTTCAGTCAAAAGGGGCTTTAATTTTACTCTCTGTAGTGGCTATACAGAATAAACTGATTAGCCTGTCCTTGGTAAGAGTGTATTATTATTATTACCATCATATCTTTAACTTTTCAGGCCTTCTTTTTGCAGACAAACAGGCTTGCTTGCCAAAATATGTACTTACAACTTTGCTTTCCAAGCCATCTAAGAAGTATTTCAAAGTCATTCAATCTATTGGTATAAATTACAGAAGGGTGGCCCAGCTGTAGGCTGTCCTTAATGGTCCCTAGGAAAAATAATGCAAAACAACCACAACTTTTAACACACCAGGGCCAAGGAGGATTTGGTTGCGGGGTTACAGTTGTTTTACTTCCTTGAGGACTGTACTAAGTTTATGCTTGGCTTTTATATACTTCATGCTTCAAAGTGGCAGGAATTAAAAATTCAGTGGTGCAGCTGGATGGGGCTGCGGAAATTACAAAAATGAATTTCAGAGATTGTACTGAATTAGATAACACCATGCTCCAGATTGATTCCACTTACCTTCTAAGGCTGGAGCAATGGTCTTCAGCAGGGTGGACTGTTTGGATGCCAGGCGATATTCACTGAGCGCTTGCTCCAACTCCTTCAGTTTCTTTTCCTCTTTCAAAACAGCACTTTTCCGGCGTTTTCGAACCTGCTTGGCAAGATTTTCTTCCTTGGAAAGACATCGAGCAGCTTCAGCAATCTGCAGCTGCAGAGCCAGATCTCTCTCTAATGTGCTCAGCGGATCCTGGAGAAAAGGAAGGGAGACTATATTCCAAAATCTGTCTTTTCTGAGTGTTCTTAGCAAGGGTGGTATGACTGGCCTTTTAAAGAGAATAGAGGAGGATATAAAGTATCAGAACTTAGAGTCACTCCTTGAAGAAGTCAGCACAGATCTGACATCATCACCCTATTCTCTGCTCCGAAGACTCCTTTTGTGGACATCTTGGTAATTAACTATGATACATCCTTTTTAGCTAGTTATGTTTTGAATGATTTCTAGCGATACACTTCGTCACTGTAAACTGATCTGGGGGTTTCCATAGAAGCCAATGTCAGCCACGTTTTGTAAGGTTTGTGCAACAAAAATTGGCCTGAATTAGTTCTGACACTGGTCATGCAACAAAATCTTTGCTGTGTAAGAGAAATAACAGTTGTTTGATGATTATTTCAGGCTAGATGCTTTTGTCTGGGATGGGGAAAACAGATAAAAAGGAAAAAAGAAGGGAAATCAATGTTTTAACAATTTTCAAATGTCTATGTTCAGCATGCTACCTTGGAAGTTCTGGGAGTTGAAGTCACACATCTGAAAATTGCCAGTGTTGAGAATCCCTGTTCTAAAGCATAATGTATTGCTCCACATAGAAAAAAAATATCTGGCACAAAAGGATTGTATGTTAGATTTGCTCGATGAATGATGTTTATGACATGTTCCAGGCAACATGTCATAAAAATCTGTGGAATGTAAGTAATAACAGTCCAAATGGCTCACAAACTAATAAAAGAACTCCCAATTAGATCCATGTTGGATCTGCTAGGCAACTGTAGCCTGCTGAAAAATAGATCTTCCCTGTCTTCAGTTGCAGAAAAGATTCCACAATTCCCGTGTGTATACTATACGCATATGTGCACATAAGTGTATACATATGCAGTGAGCATTTTAGTGTGAGAAAATCTACATGTTGATGGAGACAACAAAAGGAAGCTTCTTCAGGCATAGGGGTGCATTAAAAAAAGGTAATTAATTGGATTTGGGCTGAAGTTAATTCTTCTGGAAATAGCATCTCCCTTCATGATCCAACTAGAATCTCAGGGCTTATTGCCCTTGAAAGATTTTCATGATTCAAGTAATTATGCTGAGACTTAGTGTGCAAAATACGCTATGTTTCAAATCAATTTTCCTAACAATTTTCTTTTTATATTAAACATTCAATAAACAAGGAAAAACAAACAGGGGAAGGTCATGCTTGGCATAAAAAGCAGGCGATGGTACATCATGTTGCTAGAGTTATGGAAAATGATGGGCCAAGACAATATTGCACAAGTTACCAGATACATCCCTCACTAAATGTAATCTTCCTGCCACTTTTCAGCTAGAATAATTAAACACTAATCACAAAGAATGATTTTCAGCTCTTTCGGGGCATCTTACAAGCAGTGTAGGGATGCTAATCCAATTTAAAGATTTAGGTGGTGATTATTTCGGATTTAAGTAATCGACAGTTAAAAGGGTGTGCTCTTTTGTCTATTCCACTGGACTGATGTCTAAGGCAAAATTCCCAGCCTCCTGCTGAACTAGCAAACCGGATGAATTAAAACTATTTACAGACTAAGCAGATATGTCCTGCTTCCAGTATAACAGGTTCCTAATAGTTGAGGAGGAAACACAAAGTAGTATGCAATATTTCATTGAGCTGGAGGTTAAGAGGGAAAAAGATTGGAATAGTGTGTGAATATACAAGTGCATGTCTGGACTCTGCGTGTGAGACAAAGAGAAGCAAGGGGCTTCCAAAAGAACAATTTTATTTAGCACCACACTGTCTGCCTCCCATTGAGGGGAACTTATAGAGAGAACAAACAGCACACCACATGCCATCCTTATTTAGATTATAATAATAATAATAGTAAAGTTGGAAGGGACCTTGGAGGTCATCTAGTCCAACCCCCTGCTCGGGCAGGAAACCCTACACCATTTCGGACAAATGGCTGTCCAGTCTCTTCTTAAAAACTTCCAGTGTTGGAGCATTTACTGCTTCTGGAGGCAAGCTGTTCCACTGATTAATTGTTCTCACTGTCAGGAAGTTTCTCCTTAGTTCTAGGTTGCTTCTCTCCTTGATTAGTTTCCACCCGTTGCTTCTTGTCCTGCCTTCAGGTGCTTTGGAAAATAGCTTAATTCCCTCTTCTTTATGGCAGCCCCTGAGATATTGGAATACTGCTATCATGTCCCCCCTTGTCCTTCTCTTCGTTAAACTAGACATACCCAATTCCAGCAACCGTTCCTTATATGTTTTAGCCTCCAGTCCCCTAATCATCTTTGTTGCTCTTCTCTGTACTCTTTCTAGAGTCTCAACATCTTTTTTACATCGTGGTGACCAAAACTGGATGCAGTATTCCAAGTGTGGCCTTACCAAGGCATTGAAGAGTGGTATTAATACTTCGCGTGATCTTGATTCTATCCCTCTGTTAATGCAGCCTAGCACTGTGTTGGCCTTTTTGGCAGCTGCAGCACACTGCTGGCTCATATTTAACTGATTGTCTACTAGGACTCCGAGGTCCCTCTCACAGTTACTACTATTGAGCATGGTGCCACCTATGCTGTACTTGTGCATTTGGTTTTTCTTGCCTAAATGTAGAACCTTGCTTTTTTCACCATTGAATTTCATTTTGTTAGTTAGTGCCCAGTGTTCAAGTCTGTCCAGATCCTTCTGTATCTGAAGCCTGTCTTCTGGAGTGTTGGCTATTCCTGCCAGCTTGGTGTCATCTGCAAATTTGATGAGTTCCCCATCTATCCCTTCATCCAAATCGTTGATGAAGATGTTGAAGAGTACTGGGCCCAGAACAGAGCCCTGGGGCACCCCACTACACACTTCCCTCCATATAGATGCAGTTCCATTGAGGACCACTCGCTGAGTACGGCCGTCAGCCAGCTACGGATCCATCTGGTGGTGGTTCTGTCTACCCCACATTTTTCTATCTTGTCAAGTAGTAGGTTGTGATCTACTTTATCAAATGCCTTACTGAAGTCCAAGTAAATTATGTCCACAGCATTCCTCTGATCCACTAATTTTGTCACTTGGTCAAAGAATGCAATAAGATTTGTCTGGCATGATCTATTTTTGACAAACCCATGTTGGCTTTTAGTAATGACTTTGTTTGCCTCTAGGTGTTCGTTGATTCGTTGTTTGATTATCTTTTCCAGGATCTTCCCAGGTATTGAGGTCAGGCTGATAGGTCTGTAATTTCCTGGATCCATTTTTTTTCCTTTTTTGAGGATGGGAACTACATCAGCTCTTTTCCAGTCCTCTGGTAGTTCCCCTGTGTTCCAGGATCTTTGAAAAATATAGTTCAGTGGCTCTGATATCACATCTGCCAGTTCCTTGAGAACTCTGGGGTGTAATCCATCTGGTCCTGGCGATTTGAACTCATCTAGGCTGGACAGGTGCTCCCTAACCATTTTCTTGCCTATCTTAACTTGTGTTTCTGTTTTGTTTTTTATGGCACTATTTTTGATAGGTTGGTCTGTTTTTTCCCTTTGTGTAAAGACAGATGCAAAAAATGAGTTAAATAGTTCTGCTTTCTCCCTGTTGCTTGTCACCTTCTTGCCACTTCCACCCACTAATGGACCAATCATTTCCTTCACTTTTTTCTTGTTTTTTACATGTTGAAAGAAGCTTTTTTTGTTATTTTTGACTTTGGTCGCAAGCCTTAGTTCATTTTGAGCCTTGGCTTTCTTCACTTCATCTTTGCAGGCTCGGGCTATTTGCTGATATTCTGACTTAGTTATGTTCCCCTCTTTCCACTTTCTATACTTGTCCTTTTTATCTTTCAATTTGTCAGAGAGTTCTTTATGCAGCCATGCTGGTTTCTTTTGAGAGCTGTTATTTTTCCTCTTTGTTGGTATTGTGCTAGACTGTGCTTTTATTATCTCATTTTTCAAAATTTCCCAAGCTTCTTGAGTTGTTTTCCCCTTGAGGATTCTCATCCATGGAATCCTTCCCAAGCCCTCTCTAAGTTTATTGAAATTAGCTCTCTTGAAGTCCAAGACTCTAGTTTGACTGTGTTCTATTGGTTGTGCTTCTATAATGTTGAATTCTAATATTGCATGATCACTTCCTCCCAGGGTTCCTATGGCTTCAACACCGTCTATCATTTCATCTCTGTTAGTGAGAATTAGATCCAAAATGGCTAATCCCCTAAATTAATTAGTAAAATTGAACATAGGACACAGGCAGGAGAAACACTATTTGCAAAAGAGACACTGCATCCTACATGTTTGATAGGAAGGAAACCCGAGGCTTCCAGATCCCTTATCTACCCTTCACTTTCTACTGGGAACCACTTTCAGACACTTTTTTTAAATTGGGAATCCATAATTTGTAAAAATCCCATGCAAGCTTTTTCCACAGAGAAAAAGGTTTCCTAGATTGGCTGAACTAGGTTTCAAAGGGAGACTGAGCTTTATGCATGAAAGAAACCATGCCTCTATATAGGTTGGCTACTAGGTATCTTCCATTTGGAATCTGAAGTTAATCCTGTCTTTTTTTTATTTACCCAACTTACTCCTACTGGAGCGGGAAAGTTGGAAATGCTGTATATTGGATTTTGACTGACTGTGTTGGGATCCTTCTACACTGAAGCACCTATGAAAAGAATAGCAGGTACAAAATGATCAAGCTAACTAGGAGGAAGAAATGTCTTTTCTCAGCCTTAGTGCTACTTTTATATAATTGAAGAGCTTTTTTTTTTTTTTTTGCTTTATGGCTGAACCTATAGAAATGTTTTAAGTTTCAGAACATTGGCCCGATCTTTGCTGATGGCCCGATAAAGGTTAAGAAGTAACAGGAGGTCCTTACAGAGCAGGGTTAAGAAAATAGAGATGCCAGACTTGTATTCAGCCAAGATCACCAGCATTGCAAAGCTACTCTTCTTCCACTCTATTCCAAACAGCCTTAGCAGCAGAAGTTCCCATGACTACTGCTATTAACTACAAGAGCAAGCAAAATTAGATGCTGATCTGGTAATCCTGTTCAGGGACCTTTGGAGGCCAGAATATCAAGCAGGGATTCCCAGAACCTCTTTCCTAACCAAACTAATTGTGTCCATGACTGAACTGCAATTCACTTGTTGTTTTTTTCCCTCCTGGAATCCATTTATATTTACATGCTGATTCAGGCAACACAACCTTCTGGGTAACTCAAATGTTTGTGCTCATCCACACTCTCTAAACCCCAAAAGGTTGTGAGCAAGGTGCCTTACTGCTCCTGAAAGAATAGCCTTTTGGTCCAGTTTGAAAGCAGCACCAATTCGACGGCGGACCTTCGGGGGCTTCTCTCCTGGTTTCAGAGGATATTCTGAAGACAGCATTCCTGTCAATTCCTGCCCAGAAAAAAAAACGTAGAAGCAGCACAAGTCAAGGAGAGCCTTAAGGTTAGGCAATGTAAAGCAGCTGAACTGAGTATCATGAAAGAGCAGCATATTTGTCATTAACTGATTTATTAATATATTTCTCCTGCCAGATAGGAGGGGAAATATTTTTGTGATTTTTTCTGCTTCTGGTGCCACAACAATTTAATAGGCCTTGGGCACTGCATACCTTGACCTGGAAACAGAATGCTATTTCTTCTGCTGCCTGAAGTAGCAATTTAGCCAAGATTGCCGCTAAAGCTGATTGCCAAAGGGGAACAGGCAGTATCTAATCTATTTATTTAGCACACCACCATAGTATATTTTATTTAACTTTTTTGAATTTGCATTCAGTAACGAGCCTGAAAATATCAATAAAAGGAGATAAATAAGTTGACGTTCATTTTAATGGGCTTGGTATGCAGTTAGCTTTTGGCTTTTTCTTATTTTCTAAATAGCCTTCAGTTAATTTCAGGCAGAGAGAACGACCAAAAATTGAATGCTTGGGGAAATACCCAGGATTGAATTCATTGCAAGATAATTTCTAAACTAATTATTTTAAGGGGCTTTTTATAAGTTGGTGATTAGTCAAACAAAGAAACAGGAAGACAGTCAATGAACTGATTCAAGGGAAGAAGTAGATCCTAGAGACAATAGAATGTTCTGGGGGAGACTCCCAATAGGGACCTAACTGGAAACAAGTTTGATATTAACTTAGTAACTTTCTGTATTTATGTTTAGACATTGTCAGAGAAGATAACAATGGCTTGATGGGATGGATTTTGTTTGGTAGAAATTTTCATATTCACATATCGACTAACAGCTGCACAATCAGGTTTATTAAGAAACTTGAAAGGAGAATTGTAGATTTAATTAAAAGACTTGAGTTGCTTTACCAAGCTACTTCTTAAATGATGCATGAGCTTCTATCACAGACCAAGTGTTTGTGAGATCCATTTTACTCTTTCACTATCTTCACACTTAGCCTAGGTATCATTCAATCTCTATAGAAAGCTCTTCTCATTTCTTTGGACAGTGGAATCCCAACCCTTCCAGACATGCTTTCTTTCCTGCAGTAATGCACCTTACAAATCCCTAATATGGTTAACAGTTCTACAACTCTTTTGGCTCCTTACAGCTTCACGCAAGCATAATCTTCGTAGTTCCTGTAAACAGGCTTCCAGACGTTCCTCAAGGGCCTTTTGCTGCTTCCTCATGGCTTGTGTCAAATCCTTCATTGCAGCCATGGGGCTATCAGGTCCTGAAAGAATTAAAAAAAAACAAAAAACAAGTATAGATTGATTTGTCAGAAAAGAAAGCTCGGATGGGATGAATTTTGATAATATTTGATCAGTCAGACAAAGATGGCCTTTGGCAGCTTCTTTAAGCACAGGCAGGGGTTGTAAATGCATCTTCAAAGACCAATAACATTGTTATCACAAAATTCTGTTTAACATCAAAAGAGCTTTTCTGAACCTCATCAGATAAGGCATGGAATGTGTCCAACAGCAAGGATTGAGTAGCTCCACTTCATAGACAATGGGCAGGTCAAGGTTGTTATAGACAAGATAAATACAAGGCCTAAGGCCAACATCTGTAAATGTTACCTTATTAGCAAAGAAAGCACATTTATTTATTGCTCTGCCCATGGATTGAAGAAGAAATATCCGGCATTGATTTTTAAAGCCTACACAGAATTTCTTCCATGGGATCAGCTCTCTGACTCCTTTCAAGCATATGATATCAGCCCATACAGGTTTTAATCAAACAGGGCACTGACAATCTCTCCATGTACACGATTCATAACATAGGGCAGGGTAAGATTCTGTCAGCATGGTCTAAATTTGATGGCACTGAAGAAAGAGCAATTCTTATTCAGATGTGCGAACTGTATATGGTAATAAGCTCCTGGGAATTTGCTGAGGAAGCAGAGGTTGTATGATGACTTCCCTAATTTATTTATTTCAAAATCAATTTTCCAAGTGCACATGGAACTAGCTTTTCTTTCCAAAATAAAAAATCCAGCTAGGTGTGCCACAACTGAGCTTTTTGCAGTCTCAAGAGCTTCCAAAGTAAAGAAAATACTTCTTCATTATGCTTGTACTTCTTAATACTGCCTTTATTCAAGAGGCTAAAAGGAAAATCCAGGCTTGCACCCTGTCCAGACCACAACAGAAGATGTCTTGTTGGCAATTAGACTATATCTTCATTGGAATAATCCACATCAGCTCTTTCTTAGTGCTACCTTGTGTTATTAAGGATGCTATAGTAATTCGTGAGAGTGAGTAAACCATCCTGAGAAAAAGAAGAATTAGTGGGCCTGACTCTCTATAAATTCTTATACATATATTGCCTGTATGGAGAAAGGCTCTAGACCAGAGTTACATCAAAGGCTGGGCTTATGAATCTTGCCAGATTGTAAAATAGCCTGCTTTGTTTTGATTTAGTGGGATATATACACTCAGCTCCTGTAATTTATTCAATAAACCATGAATCAGCGCACAGCACTGGATATGTACCACTTTCCTATCCAAGGAAGCATTTAATTGTATATGCGTTGCCTTAGCTGATGTGTGGTTAGATTATTATTTGTTTTGCTACAAAAGTATGTAGCTCAGAGCTTTTTAGCAATTCAACAAGTTTAGAAATAACTAAAGAAGTACAAGGCATCACACAACATTCATGCAAAAAGAATGTCACATATTTCATGCTTAGATTTCTAATAAAATAGCTTCTCAAAAGTCTGCTTGGTCAGAAAAAGAAAGGATTAATACTTCAATGTAATAGCTGGCCTGTATTTCAAGGCAACTGAAAAGCTTTGCAGTGGTAATAAGTTATACTGTAAGATGAGTGGCAAGCATCAGGCCAAACAGAAGGCTCCACCCTGTCCTATCATTCCTCAAATCTGATACAACTGTTGTTGTCACCAGCTCCTGGCTCTGGTTCCTGTCCAAGATCAATTCTTATTTTGCAAAATTGCCCTTCATCACTTCAATGTAAAGACTATATCTTGTGCAACATCGTAACCCATCTGAGATAAAGCCACACTGATAAACTCTGACTGCTGGGCCAGCCATGACTAATAAGGTGTGGAATTCTGTGCACAACTGTATTTTGTGTCAATTGCAACAAATGAGTGTTAGCAACATCAACAGAGTCTAGCCTAAGCAAACCTCTGTCTACAGCAAGCCACAGAAGAAAGACCCCAGCAGAGTATATATTGTTGCTTAAACTTGTTGACATAAGAAAGCATCCAGGAGATGTCTGCATTTTTCCAAGAAGAAACTTCCCCATTAGTCACTTACCGGACTGGATTATGATGCCACTGTCTGTATCGCTGGTCTCATCCTTATTCTTACTTTTCATGGCCAAACCCAGGTTGTGAAGAGAGACAGTATGGTCACACCTGGAAAATGCTGTAATGTCTTCTGCTAATACAAAAAGGGCATGACTGAGATATGCTTTGTACAAACACAAAGTGAGCAAGAACAATGCTAAAAGAAAGGGCTGGATGGGGGCCTTCCACTGACTGTGGAACTTGCTGTCAGAACTTGGTTACCTAGAGGCCTCTATCTTGCAAAGTTTCTACTTAGGGCTCCTATGTGGACCCAAGGCCAATAATGTGCTGATAAATATTTAACATCTGGCTCCACTGTTGCTGCCAGGTGTTAAATATTTATCAACTAACAGGGTCCTCACTAGGCATCAGGGCTGAACTCTGCTTTCAACTGGCTCACAAAGTTTCCAAAAAAATCAACAATTGACTCCAATAAGCCAATATGAGCCAGCTTCAGCATACCACTACCCAAGACTCACATTCCATTCCTGCTTCCCACCTTCCAAATTTTCTATTCAGTAAGAAGAAATCATTTGATTGCGACAATGTCTATGCAGATTCTCAATCATCCAGGATATGGATGTCCCAAAGGTATGTTTCCAAAAGGTAACTGGACTTTCTTGGTTTTCACTAGAAACCTAAACTATGTGGATTCTTTTTGCATGAATGCTGTATGATGCCTTATGTTTCTTTAGTACAAGGAAAGGAAGTTTTCAAGGAAAAAAAAAACAAGGAAGTCCAGTTACCTTTTGGAAAAGCATCTTTGAGATATTTCACTGGGACTATCATAGGTTGTGTTGCTGATACTATCAAATGTCAGATTGCCAAGGCTGTTCTATGCTAAATCATGTAAGGAAACTGAATTATGTTTGATCTAGCACAGTGTTTCTCAACCTTGACAATTTTAAGGCACGTGGACTTCAACTCCCAGAATTCCACAGCCAGCACTGCTGGCTGTGGAATTCTGGGAGTTGAAGTCCACGTGCCTTAAAATTGTCAAGGTTGAGAAACACTGTACCGTAAATGCCGGCGTATAAGGCGACTTCCGCAAGCACTGAAATCGGCGCCAAACACGGGGGTCATCTTATACGCCGAGTCGTCTTATACGCCGGAAATACTGGTAGTTTCCAGCGTATAAGACGACGTTCTAGGAATGCGGCCCGGCTATAAAGACAGGGGTCGTCTTATACGCCGGCATTTACGGTAATCTAGCACATAACCTCACAATAAAATAAAAAGGCTTTTGGACTTCTAATTATTGCTGAACTACAACTCCCACAGGCCATTAGAACTTATTAGAATGAATGAGGCTCCTAGCAGCTTATATTTAAAAACATCTGGAGGGCTACCATCTTAACATAAAGAGAAGTTGCTTTCTGTAAACCTGTTAAATGTGAAGGGATATAAAAGGGATAATCATTAATCTCAGATGAAAATTTAAATAATCCAATTCACATAGAATACAAATTTAAATTACCTTGTCACTAAGATTGCATAGAACCTTAACTAGAATTAACAATAATAATTTAACATTGTATAGTGATACTATACATACAATAATTCAGTATTATTATCCAAAAACTGTAGGAAGAGGAAGGCTAACATAGATGCCTCTAAGTTAGTTCGGAACAGAGCGAGAATCAAATCAGGACTGATATATAACCCAAGTCTCCTGGCCTTTAGGTTCCACTCGCTGTTAATAGCTAAACCAAACCAGAAAACACATTTCCAATCTGGAGAAAATTGTGGGGAAAAAGACAATGAGAGAGGGAGAGAAAAAGAGACAGAGAGATGGAGGGAGGGAGGGAGGGAGGGAGGGAAAAGAGAGAGAAAGAAACTTGCTGGAGAGAGAGAATTCTTATCTCCCTTACATGTTCTCTCTAATTTTGTGATGATGCCATATGCCCAATCATTCCACTCCTGCTCCCCCCCCCCCCAGCAAAAAGTAAATCTATAGAAGCTATGCCATAAGGTTGGCAGGAAGTGCTAAGCAAACAAATTCCAGCTTTGGAAGATGTGACCATGAAACTTCAGTCCAGATGCCCAGATGGGCCATTCAAAACTGGGGTATTATATGGTAGGGATCATTTTTTATTGCTTTCCCAGCAGCCAGGGTGACTCCAAGCCTTCCTCTTTGCAACCACACTTGTTTGCACAGCACTTCCCCACCCTTACTGGATGAGTCAATCTGAAAGTCACTCTGAGTTTCTGTCTGGAGCTTATCACAGGACTGCCAGTCTCCTGAGGAAAAAAAAAATAACAGGAGGTGGAAGGACAAGGTTCACAGCTGTTACTGAGCTGTATGACCTAAGGTGATGTTGCTTAGACCTGTACAGATTATTGCTCACTCCAAACAGGCATAGGAGGCTGTGTGGGCAGCAGCCTGTTCCACTGCCTCCCATAACAAACAATCCCATTCATAAATTGAAATAGACAACCACGCAGCCATAGTACATCTTCTCCAGAACAATATAATTCCCACAATTATAATGTGTATCAGGCTTTCTGTTTTGGATCAGACATTAACATCCTTTATATGAGTAAAAGTTAAATTACTCTTAAATTAAAGTACAAACTGACCACGCTTCTGCTCTTACGATCAGTAAATAAAAGAATCAGCTCAATGGTTCAATTAATGGTACTTTCAAGAGTGCTGGCTTCCTGGATCTGATAACTTGTCACAAGAAAACATTTCTCAGTTGTTTCCAAATTACCAGCCTGCAATCCATCTACTAGTAGTTCAATTTTGCCCTATCTGCTGTAGGCTGCACTACTCCAGTTTGCCTATCTGTCTTTTTACCTGATAGCTATCTAACAAATTAGCAAGTCCATGGCAAAAGCCATTGTAGTTTTGGAATCTTGTACCAATGAGAAAATATACAAGTTTAAGATTTATGGAGAGTTCAGTGGTCTCTCATATAGAAAACTATGCGCAGAAGCCTTCCTCAAACTGGCAGGCAGCATAGCAATTTTGGTACTTGCAGTTCCAGCATTTCAGGCTGGAGACTACTATTATGTAGACCCATAGGTAAAGATCTATTTTATTTAGTGTACATCTTTTAGGATCTTGCAGATTGCAACATCCAGAAAAACATTCTTTTTGACCATCATACAACCCTTTTCCCCCTACAAACCAAAGTAAAAACATTATATACGAAAAATTCATCATAGAGAGACAGCAGATTTGTATGAGAACCACATAACTAGTGAATGGATGTCCATGCTTTACAATGTACAATCAAACGTCTCAGAATTCATATAACATCTTTCTTAAAGTCTTTATATAATGCTGTGAATTTAGCCAGGAGCTTTCAGATTCAAGAGCAACCTGTTCTTATTGAGATTCAATTTACACAAGCACAAAGATTTGATAAGTGTACAGACCAACTAATCACAGCTAAATTTTAAGCAGTAAGTTATGTCTTGTCCATTTACCAGTACAATATGTGAAACAGCACATATTGACTATGATCCTGATTCATGCAAACAGAAATACAGTGCAGAAAATTTAAGAACTATACAGCAGGAATGCCGTTTCTGGAGAACTTGTCTTCATATTTATCAAGTCAATTTGGAACTAGCTGATTAATTAAAGAAGATCCTACTACTTCAATAGAATGAGGAACAGATTACGGAGAAAGATTTAACTTAACTATTTTTATTACAGTTTTCCCTTTCAGTGTCTCCCTCAAAACTATAGGATATCCCATGTCTGTCTTTCCAGTTTTCAAATATGAACACCCAGACCCTCAACTCTATTTAGTAAAAGGGTCTTTTTGGTGTTTCAGAACATTTATAATAAGCACACATTGCAAGAACGAGATATGTAAAAAATACCTTAGATCAGACCTTTATCCCAGTTGGATGATATTATTAATAATGTAAACTTCTCTCCCCCAGTCTGAGAACCCTCTAAATTTGTATCTGTAAATTTCTCAGTAGTAAGTATGATATCTAGGAATTTTGGACATTGAGATCTATAGTTTTGGAGGGAGTCCAAGTTGAAGAGAGATTTTAATGTGCTAACAATGACTTTCTAGATTTTTAGCCTTTCTGGAGATGCCAAAAACTAAACCAGGACTTTTTTAAAAGCAAAAGAGGCATTCTACCAAATATAGTAGATGAAAGGCAAACTTGGATGAAGGACAAAATGTGGTCAGATATTAAGAGGTAGAATAAATTGCAAGATCAACAGAGGGAGAAGAATAATCTCAGTATATTTTCTGAGACGGGATGAACAAGTCATATCATTCTGTCCCTTCAAGGCACATACCGCACACATTTTGAAGTGTAACCAAGCTAAGAAGCATTTTAGAAAAGACTGAATCTAGAACCAATTTTAGCTTTTTAGGGGTAAAGATATTAAACAAGATGAAGGCACATTTTTCAATTTGATTATGAAGCTACGAAATGGATGCATGTATGCTTTTTAGTTCTAAGATATACTTATGCCATACAGCTACAAGCTTTCAATAATTTAAAATGAACAGACAAGTAGAATCCATACATGCCTACGCATAACAATAGAAATCATTCCATTCAAAGTGCAGTTTTAAAATAGCCTTTTTCAAAACAGTGCAAAGCAGAGCTAAGCCCCTTCTTAACAACACCGGAGCAGGAAGAATGATTTCTATATACCACTTGCCACTCCCCTTCTCTAAACCTGCTGCTTGGCAATAGATATAAAAGATATACACTTTGCCCTATGTGGCAGGAAAGAAAAAAAAAGCTAAACCTTGCTAACTTAATTAATTGAAAACTTTAATGATTAGCTGGGCTTGCTAATCAAAACCATAACTTGCAACAGACCCTCAAAGGCTGCTTTTGGATGATGAATTTTGCATTCTGGTTGAGCCGTATTGAGAATGTTGTATTTTTGCACCTTCAAGCAACTGAACTTGAACCCACAAGTAGACAAACAAAACCTGTCTCCATATTAAGATATAGATGCAACTTTTGTAGATCAATGAAAATAACCTAACAACAGAAGATGACTTCTATTAAATGGGCACAGCATCCATCCTGGCCAAAAAAAAGTAACCAGCCCACTCTAATCTTCTAAATATTTAATCAGACAAAGACTTCAAATAAATA